CGTTCGCGGGAGTTCCAGGAGGGCGGGCTGAGGGCGGGGCGGGGCTCTCCTAAGTGGGCTCAGCAACCAGCACCGCCCCTCCGAGCTCTGCCTGCTCTGAGAAGTAGGAAGTCGGCCTGGCAGAGAGCTGTCTGCAGGACCATAGCACCAGCACCATGCCCATGACGCTGGGTTACTGGGACATCCGCGGGGTGAGCTAAGGGTCGTCCTGATGGGTGGTCGGGGAACTGGGTGGAGAGGGACGTTGGCAGAGAGACTTTTTAGGACATGGATCCCTTTCCAGACAAGGTGGAGCCTTGTCCTTGTCCCACCTAGGAGGCCTCTACAAGGTTTGCAGTGTGTGTGTGTGTGTGTGTGTGTGTGTGTGTGTGTTGGAATGTGCATGAGGGTGTGTATTAGGAGGATGATGGGGACTCACTTGGAGGAGATGAAGTCTCACAGTCAGGCCCAGTCCAATCCTCCCATCCCTGACTTGTGCCCCTGGCCATCTCTCCCAGCTGGCCCATGCCATCCGCCTGCTCCTGGAGTACACAGACACCAGCTATGAGGAGAAGAGATACACCATGGGGGACGGTAACGGCACCTCCTGCTCAGACCCTGCTCAGTCCTGATGGCTGGTGCTGAGCAACCCCGTACCCTGGCCACCTCTCTCAGATGGCCTAGATCCTGCCCCTTTCCAGAAGCCTCCTTGAAGTTGCAGCTTGGCCACCCCAGGAGGGTCTGTGGGAATGGAGTGCCAGGTTGCACTTTACCTGTAAATGGATCAGATCCCCTTTAACAGTTGCCTAAATGTTTTGTCGGTCCTAGTCCTGTCGGGTGTATACCCCTTACAGGCACACTTTCCCTGGCAACCGTGGAATGTGGGGCTCGGTGGTTCAGAGTGGAGTAGTACTGTCTGAAGTTCTTGTCCCTGACTCTTTGGGAAGCAAGAATGCACTCAGGAGGGGTTTATTTTCAGTTCATGTTCTTCACCACAGCTCCTGACTATGACAAAAGCCAGTGGCTGAATGAGAAATTCAAGCTGGGCCTGGACTTTCCCAATGTAGGTGAGAGGTGGGGGGAGGTTGGAAAAGTAAAGTCTTCCATATCTCATCCCACCATGGAATGTCTAGGATAGAACTCCTGGTCAACTATTGCATTCCTTGCCTCCCCTTTTTCCCCCCCACCTCATTCACTTTGTCTACAGTGTGTTTACATAGGCTTGTCCTTGCAAGCACACTTAGGGCAGGTCTCACGTCTGCCCTAACTCAGGGAAGGGATGCTGGGACCTAGACTCCCAAGTGTCTTTCCTGACTGTCCCTGCAGCTGCCCTACCTAATCGATGGGACTCGCAAGCTCACCCAGAGCAACGCCATCCTGCGCTACATTGCCCGCAAGCACAACCTGTGTGAGTAGACCTGGCTTTAGGGTGTGGGGATGGACAGGGGTCTTACACCTGAGGTTGGCTCACATGGGATGCTAAGGCTGAGTCTCTTTTG